GTTGCAGTTTACTGTCATGAGGTTAGAAGTAAAAGGGGATAGGTTTTACACTTTAGTTCAATGTTGATTGGGACGTATCAGGCTAATGTGACAACAATCATGGTGAAATCATCGTTTTCTTAGTGATACATAATAGAAGTTCAGTGGTAAACCCGAATTGTAGAGTCAGTATGTTCGGTCCAGGTATGAAATATTCTGGTACTTCTTTAAATCTCTGATGAAGCACTCGTTCTCAAGTGATTTTAAGTGTCTGGTTCATGGTCGCACTTAATGTTGAAGTAAAGATAGAAGGAAATGACCTTCTTAGTTAACTATCTGGTAGTATTCTGTATCGTTTAATGAGTGAGGTGTACGTTACTCTACTCCTCTTTTATTTTAAGACGCTTAGAACTGATTCCCTGAAAGGTTCATCTGGAACGTCGAGAGCAAACAAATTTTCTATCATATGTAATGAATAAATTATATCGAAACGTCTGCAAATTGTTCAGATATACTTCTATCCAGTCAGCGCTCTAGATAAGTTTTATTAAAATTTAGAAACCAATGAATTACTATTTTACTTGAACTGGTGTAGTAAGTACCAAATTTATTATGAATTTTAGTATTCTTTTTTGGGATCTACTTGAACTTCAAGGTTACTAGTAGTTCTATTTTCACGGCGCGACTATAATTTATGGATGAACCAATCAAATATAAGATAACAGGTTTTGGATTTTGGCGCGAAATTCAACGATCCATTTGGCTAATTCCTAAACTTATTCGTCAACTCTAAATCATAACTCTAGTTCCTCACACAGGTTCATAACCCTCATTTAGTCTTAATTGTTAGGTCACTTGAGCGTCTCTCAAGAATCGTCCATAAATTATAGTCTCACCCTTTTCACTTTTAAACATACACTGAACATAAGGCCCTTTTTCATATTTCCTCTTGATTTCTTTTAAAGTTCAAGTGTCGAATATTCTAGAAGTTTGTAGTTCAAATAAATAGTCAATATTTTAAGCTCTTTCTTTTTACCAAATGTATCGCTTCTTCTTCTTCTTCTTTAACCATCAGAGTTTCTATACACTAAATATTTAATGATCGTGTTTGGCTCGAATTCTAGATTGATTCCAAGACCTTTATCCTTTCGTGAATTCATTAAGATACTACCCTTGTACTTGATATCAGATAATATGTAAAGTGATCTCACTTTCTTAACAACTATGTATTATATATATATATATGCTATGTTTCTCTGTGGGTTTCGTAATCGATTGGTGGGTATCGGTAACAGTGGGTGGTTAGCCCGATCTCCACCACCCGGGTTACCGCTCACGTTAGTTCATAAGTCATTCGTCTCACTATCCAGGAGACACGACGCAAACGTGTGAGTCGGATTTCGCCTCCAATTATATATATATATATATATATATATATATATATATATATATATATATATCTTGTTTACTATACTTACATGTAATATAAATCATTCATTTCTTATGTAATGTTGTTGCATTTTATTCTTCTGTGAACATTCTGAATAATTGATCATCATTTTATATTAACAGTATTTCAATAGATTTAACAAGGTAATTTATGCTTGATAATTTAATACTACTGCTACTACTGCTACTGTTATTGCTGCTACTACTACTACTACCATAACTGTTACGTTTAACAATACCATTTTTTCTTTCATGTTGCTGTGTTAATAAGTCCATTTTTGTATACATGTGTGCACACTAATGTTATTTGCTTTATTTCTTGGCCATATTTCATTCATCTTATCTTTTGTGATGATTTCGTATGTTGATCAACTGAAATTATAACCACCAGTTTATTAATCACTTGAAGATGTTCTTGAAATTCTAGTGGAAAGTTGTAACTGATGAAGTTCAGACATGTGAGGAATGAAACAGTTATTACCAATAACTTTGAATGTCGTCGAACTATTTCACAAATTGATTAAATTTCGAATCCTACCGTTGTATGCCAGCCGAGTGGTTTTAATGATCAAGTGTTCACCGATGTACCTGAAGGTTCTAGTTTCGATACATGGTGACATCCGTTATGGTTAATTTTAGGGAGTCCCATTATAAAATGAAGCAGCTATTTTTTACTTTCTAGTTTATAGTAGTATCTGAACTAAAAACAATCTATGGCGAATACGACTTATAGATTGAAATTAGCTTTGGATGAATCTTCGAAACCCAAGGCTCAGTGAAAAGCGGCTTTTTAATCCCTTACAGTCCACATGGCATCATTGATTCAATTGACTATCTTCAGGTCTCACGATGAGTAAACTATATGTAAATCGATCGATTGGGAATACTGTTGTTCATATTTCTTATGTACGTACAATTTATATACTACCATAATCCTGTGTTATCGATGGATAAGTTCCTTACTACCAAGTGATTGAACTTCACTGGATATAACTTTTCATCAGAAATTCCCATTGAAGAACATCATTAATGGCTTTGTGGTAATTAATACATCATGATCAGGATTTTCCTGACACAAGTGCTAAAGTGTTTTATAAATGTTTACTTCGAATTCCTGACGTTTAATTAGTGGAAGCTCTTAAAATTTGTGAGATCTTTCGTAACCTTTGATTTTCCTTGTTATCTAATATTTTTTATGCTCGTTGTTTTGCCACATGTGTCTCGAACTCCATCCCACCGTACCTTTGGACGTTACAGTTGAATCATTAACCCCTCATTAAATTTGACGCATAGCTGAATATGCAAATGAGTACTTGGTCAATAGATTGCATTCTGATCAGAGTGTTTCTTTTAATCCAATTTCAGTCATATCTCGTCTATTAAATACTACACTGTCTAGTGCAGAAAAATGATATCTATGGAAATGCGAATCACTAAAATAACAGCTAAATAACATCGCTTATCATAGTAGGTATACGTCACCGAATAATTGTATTCATTCATGTGTAGAACTTTCCAGCTCTATGAACCCTATACTTAATGTGTACATAACATAGACTATTGGACTGAAATTCGATTATCCGAACTTCGTAAAATGATATACAGTTGAATTATCAGAAGGGGTTTTGTGGAGAATTTTTTAGAAATTTCACTCATTGAAATCATGTGGTGGTTCGGGGTTCGAATCTCGCGGGGTGCGGGATCGTGGATGCGCACTGCTGAGGAGTCCCATATAATAGAATTGTAAAATTCTACAGTAGCTAATTAAACCGATGATTAGGTTCTTTGTGTGATGGTTTAATAATGATTTGAAATTGAAATCTTGGTTATCTTCTTTATTAAATCACTTGATTTCATGAATACATAGGCCTTTGACCTTAAAAAGAAGTGGAAATTATCATCACATAGTAATGAAGCATAACTCTTCATAGTCAGATTGAACATTCACTTTATACTAATACTACTATACAACAAATATTTCACGAAGGTAAAGTTTCTTCTGAAAAACTCTGTAGTTATTTTCTAGATAAAGGAGTTTTTTGTTACTATGCACGTGTATCATAAATGGAACTCATGGTGTACTACAGTTTATATGGATCGATTATCATGGTTATGCTCAAATATGTCATCACTTATAAAAGACTAAAGGTGAAAAGTACAAATAACAAGGTGAAAGAGTATGGTATGATCTTCCATGATTAAATTAGTTTTGACAGGAAATGTTTTCAAGTTATAAATTAAGATGGTTTGAATTAATTTTAATTTATTGTAAAATGTGAAGGAATAAGCAGTAATATCAGTCAGTTACAATGTAGGACCAAGCACAAATGGGCATCGGTTCAAGTTGCCATACCTCATTAGCACAACAAGATGAACATCGAACACATAGAAGTGCTTAATTCAATAGTGGTAGTAATATATAAAAGAAAGAATTAGTTCGTAGAAAGAAAGATATGAAGCGATTTTAATCTTTTAGTTTAAGAGAAGACGGAGAGTGTATAAACCTACCCCATTCTGATCGATCGATTCTGAGTCATGTCACCCACAGTCTCCAACTATTGGTTACGATAGTCACATGGACCCCAACCAAGTAGTCTGCATCTACCAACATGGCTAAGACCAGATATTAATGTGTTCAAGCACTGATGCCATGTTTGGATTTGGCCGCCCCTGACGGTAATATCAAAGTAACTGAGACTGTTATGTTGAAAGTAATCGTGTGATGTGTTCGCAGATTTCTGGTTTTACAATATGTATGATCAATGCTTGCATAATACATAAGAGATTTATATGTGTACCTTTTTAGTAAATTCACTTTGATCATAGAAGATAACCACTAATAATGGGTCGAATAGTATGTAATTATCATGAATATTATGTTATAGAATTGTTGATTTCAAATATGTTCTTTGTTCTTCATTATGATCCATCTCCTGAAGAGGCGCTTGTTTATTATAACCATAATACTCATTTTCATTAGTTTTATATCACTACAATTAATCAATAACAAAATCTTTTCTTTAAAAAAATAACAACAGTGTTTTACTGAAATAAAAACAATATTTAATGAGACTATCATTTGTGGACGACCCTATGAACGACGTTTAAAAGACCTTTGAAGTGTCTACCTATATACAACAACTAAATAACAGTTAGAAACCAGTGTGAGATATTCGAATCAACTGATTCACAGTGGATAGTTAATGGTTAGGAATTAGATCTATAATGCCAAAATGATATTTAGCTAAATAAATGAATGAATGAATGAATTTCGCGCCAAAATTCAAGATTTGTCATCTTAAATCTGATTGGTTCGTCCATAAATTATAATCTCGCCCAATATTTCTCTGACTCTAAGTGTGTGTGTGTGTATCTATGTATGTCCGAAATGATTGTTGTTTGTTTCTAACACATTACAAATGTACTTCATTAATAGCACACCTATGCTATAGTCAATTTTAGAAATCATTTAATACTGTTAATATTATTACATCATTCTCATTTTGTGTGTTTGTGTGTGTGTGCGTTCGTGGGTGTTGGAGCACATTTCATATCTCACCATCCTTTTTATGATTACTATCTTAAACTATAAACGGGATTATTGTTCATATGTCAGATAATATTCCTCAATGTTATTGAAATGATCAGTTTAAGGGTTGTGGAGATTGTTAAGTTTTTGATTAACATCATGAACCGATTGATGTTAGACCACTATTGAAAACCTGGAAGCACTAGATGGCCGTTTCGTTCTATTGTGGGACTCCTCAGCAGTGCGCATCCAATTTGTTTCAATAGAGATTAGATATGTAATATTGGCCTTTGAATCAAGTTATCTCTTTATATTTGTTACTTATTGATCATAGTTATAAAGCCAGACTTGATATTTCAGTATTTTATGAGGTTAGTTCCTTTTTTTGTGTGTGTAAGAATTAGAGCAAATGCAATGTAATAGATACATTGCAACAAACTCAAATTTCTTTCTACACTGCTAATCCATTGGGGTTTCCCCGCGTGGGTTCGAATCCCATCCCCGTCGCCAGTTGTTATATCTAGAAGGTTGTTATTGATATACAGCATATAACGTGGGCACTAGAACGCCAAAACCCTTCCAAGTCGCAATGAGAAGACAGAAGACTAACGAAAGGAATATTATTCCCAGACAGTGTCAGTTATAGTACAAAATCGTCAAGTATTTATACTTTTTAGTAAGAACGAAGTCATCAATAAAGTCCTCCAATCCGCATACTGGAGGTTATTAGTATTGTACAGTCTGGAAGCTACACGTAGGAATTCTAGAACATTCTTCCAAAAGGTGATTGGATGGAATATCTTCGGCTCTTGAGCCTCCTACAACTTCCTCTTGTTCACCCGTGGTCCGTCGTCACATTTTCATTCTGCCTATTTCAATTGATAATAATCTTTTTTTTCTAATTTTTTTTGCTTCAGACTGATCCTCAAAGAGAACCAATTCATATATTAAATATTGCTCTACGTCAATCTACATATAGATACATACAACCTACTCGCATATTATCATCATCGAATGATGATACATCAATGTCGTCAAAATCGAGACCTTCTGGATTCACTAAAAACTCATTGCTACTACCTGATTCAGTAATTAATGAAACAAGTGATGTGACACATTTAGAAGAATTCTGTTCTCGTCATGTTGATCAATTACGAGCATCTGGTATTCGAAGAATTACTTTCTTAGTTGTTAAGACAGTGAGTTAGTGTTTTGTTGCTTCTCTATTGTTTTTTCTATCATTGTTTAGTTATGCTATGTTAATGGAATCATCTATTTATTTAATAGCTCTTACCATACAAGATTAATAAATGAATGCTTATCTACAAACCCTTCCAAGTTATGTTAACCATTTCTAAGATTGTAATGATAGCCGGTAAAGTATTGTTTCATAACATAAGTGGTTTTAGCATTCATTTCAAAGTTCCATTCTGGCTTCTATCCTAGAATGATACCATCAATGGTATTATATGGTTTCTGCACAATACTGGATATCGATTAGAGTTGGAATTTTGCAGACCATTGTATTCCGTTTCAGTAGTTTTAAAGTCTTATAGTATCTGTTTTATGTTACTTACTACTTCAACTGTTCTATTACTGTTTGTAAAGTTGGAAGTCATTTTGGTAGATACAGACTACTTGGTTGGGGTCCGCTTGACTATCGTAACCAATAGTTGGAGACTGTGGGTGACATGACTCAGAATCGATCAAAATGGAGTAGGTTTATACACTCTCTGTCTTCCCTAAAAACTATGAGATTAAAATCGCTTCATATCTTTCTTCCTACGAATTAATTCTTTCTTCCTGTACTATGTCCTTATATACAATCTTTCTTTTATATATCACTACCACTATTGAATTGACTACTTCTATGTATTCGATGTTCATCTTGTTGTGCTAATGAGGTACGAAAACATAGACTGATGCCCATCTGTGCCCGGTCCTACGTTGTAACTAACTGACTGACTGGAAACTATGATTATTGTTTCGATTCTAAAGTATCATAATCAAAGTTTTCATAAGATAAATCTAATTTATCTCATATCTTGTCTGTTTTTACATTCATTAATATTTGTATAAGAAGGGGTTTCGTGGAGATTGTAGTAATTTCAACAGTTGAGATCATGAGTCAGTTAAAGCTAGACCACCATGGAAAACCTGGAAGCACTGGACGGCCGTTTCGTCGTATTGTGGGATTAGTTGTGGATTAGTTGAAGTTAGACATTAACACCGTTGGATGTCGGCTCAGTGGTCTAGTTGGTTGAGTGCCTGGCGCGAAACTGATAGATCCTAAGTTGGCGGGGTCGTGGATGCGCACTGCTGAGGAGTCCCACAATAGGACGAAACGGCCGTTCGGTGTTTCCAGGTTTTCCATAGTGGTCTAGCTTCAATTGACTCATGATTTCAATTGTTGAAATCATTAATTTTTTTTTATTTCTTTTTCTTTTTTAAAAATTTCAGCGTGAATTCCCACGATTGTATACTTTTCGTGCACGTGATAATTATCGAGAAGATCGTGTTTATCGGCATTTAGAACCAGCTTTAGCTTTTCAATTAGAATTAAATCGAATGAAAAATTATAATCTTGAACATTTACCAACATTAAATCGTCGAATGCATTTGTATTTAGGTTGTAGTAAGGTAATTCTTCTATATATATAAATGTTTTTCTCATTAGTAACTGTAACTTCTCATTTAGTACTTTTATTACTGTAATCTTCATTAAAACAATTATATAAGTGTGATAGAATCCTACAGTCGACAAGTTTTACCAACTCGATGCTGGCATCTTAGTAATGTACAACTTTAATTGTATGATACTGAAAAATTTCCACCTATTGGATTTTAACCACTCCTGACACTACACTTAAGCCCCCAAATGCCCTGGTACGGTCGAGAGTGAGGAGAGTTAGCACTCCCTCTCTAAATGCTCTCACATAGCCACTTGCATACAACCACTGCCAGGGAAGTCCTACTCATCGCCTTCTTGCGGCATTACTGTTCTTTACGAAATTCAGAGGACGGAAAGTGAATGTCCGGTGCTTTAACCTGGTCGGTGGATGTGGAGGATCCATCTAGGGGAGTTGGAAAACCTTGATTCTAAACCAATGGCGTACATGGGCTCCAGTATCCTGAAGGACCAAATGGCGTTTGAACCTATTGTTGGTCACCGACTACCGTGTGACTGCATATCTTGACGTTTCTCCGTTGCCTTGTGGATTAGACATTTAGGTTGAAGTCTCCGGGTTTGGCCCCCTAAGAAAAGCACCTGTTTTTGTTTCGGTATCCAGGCAGTATCCCAGCCCTTAAACAAATGGGATGATTTATGCGGCGCATATCTGTTTGATGCCTCTTTGTACCAATGTTTATGTGTTTAAATAAATAAATTAATTAAACAACTATATCACCTTGTTAACATTGAAATGAAGAAAAAGCAACAAGATTCATAACATAAAGTGAATTCATCCTATTTTGTAACTTCTCGTCAGAGTTTCGATCTAGCTATAACTTACAATAAGTAAAATAATTAAGAAACAATAGTTTAACTGAAGAAAAATAGAATAAAAACCGTCCCATTAGTAAACAATGCGGTTGTTAAATGGTTTTTGTGATGACTTAAAAATCCTGTCTAATATCACGTGATAAAAACATCACTCGGAATCCGCCCAACAGTTATAACCTTGGCTTTTGCCAACTTACGTCACCTATGGCGAAGGCGAGATATCCGTCTATCTATCAAGGGACGAGTATACTGCACAGCAGTTCGTCCTGTTCTACTTTACGGCTGCGAAACATTGCCATTAAGAGTTGAATATATTCGCAAGCCACTAGTATTTAACCACAGATGCCTGAGAAATATTGCTGGCATCTTCTGGGATCATCGGGTAAGTAATAGTAAGGTTAGACGCAGGGTATTAGGGAATGATGATAAATTAGTTGATGAGTTTGTGAATGTTCATCGACTTAGATTGTTAGACCACGTGTTACGTATGCATAGTCTGATGCCCATCTGTGCCTGGTCCTACGTTCTAGCTGACGGACTAACTGACTATCAAGTACTTTCAATCGAGATATCATCAAAAACATAAAACACTAATATTTAATCATTTCTCTTCTCTTTGAATTTATATCATAGATAAATGGAAGAAAAGATGTAGTAGATTATCGTTTCTTTGTTCGTTGTATTATTCGTCATGCTGATTTAGTTTCACGTGAAGCTTCATTTGAATATCTTCAATCAGAAGCTGAACAAATTCTTTTAGAAGCAATGGATGCTTTAGATTTAGCCTCAGGACATCCTGATGCTAGTCGAACAATGGGAAATCATATATTTTTAAATTTTGTTCCTGTATTACTCTTAGAAGATATTAATAGATTAAAGTCAACAATTAGAAAAGTTGTAATGCGTTATGCTCGACGTTTTCTACGTTTACGCGTATCTCAAGTAGGTAAATTTATGATTAATACAGTATTACTAATATTTACTGTTTATTTATGTAAAATAATTTATTGGAACCATTAACTAGTGATTAGTTATCTTGATGTTACATTGTGGATTTTCCATATTAGAGTTTCTTTATTCCGAATGGTTTTGTGGATACTATAGTAATTTCAATGGTTAATATCATGAGTCAGTTGAAGCTAGATCACCATGGAAAACCTGGGAGCACTAGACGGCTGTTTCGTCCTGTTGTGGGACTCCTTAGCTGTGCGCATCTACGTCCTCGCCCCCTGCGAGGTTCGAACCCAGGATACACTGGTTTCACGCGCGAGCACTCAACCACTAGACCACTGAGCCGGCATCCAACTGTGTTATTCAGTCATTCATTCTAATAAGTTTTCGTTTTTGGAGTTCGTATGGAATGTGACTTATAATGTCTCAGTAAACTTCACCATTGCTAATGTGCTCATCAATTGATACAACAGATAACAATAGTTTACCGGACTCCGCTTCGATTTATACAGATATGACGGAGTGATTATCTTTGTATACATAGTTTGAAAACCTTGACTACTTATGTTCTATAAAGGAACAAAATATGTCATCACCAATCGATAATGAACAAGCATACATATATGTTTTTCTTACATAATCTAATCTATCAAGTCAAATGAGATATTATCATTCAATTGTGCATTGGAATCTTTGTGTGACTTAGAACAATGATGTCAACTATATCAACTGTCTTAATCGAAATATTCACTGTACGTATAACCAGTTCATATTGCATCCAAATATCAGAAGAGTATCTATATGATAATTAAGATTCGTTCCTGTCACAATCAAGTAATCAAACTCTATGAAGTCAAAATATTGATTTACATTCATCTAATAGGTAGCACATTCATTCAATGTATATACTTCTGATTTAATTCTTATAGGCAGAATTAAAATTACATATACGATTTCATGCATCTGATCCTATTGTACCAATTCGTGTTATGCTTCGTGATGAACATGGTTATGATTTAGGATTAGATGTTTATCGTGAAATATTAGATCCAATAACTGGTATTTATATTCTACAATCGATAAGTCCACCGAATGGTAAATTAAATGGACATCCAGCTGTTACAGCACATGAGAATAAAGATTTTTTTGAAGTTAAACGTTTTCAGGTAATTATCATTATTCATTTCAACTTCACTTTTATATACCCTGTGGATTAATTTATATTTTTAGTAATTGTACAATATGACTATTGAATTTATGGGATATTATGCATAATTCACCTACATTTAATCATAGATGTCTTCATTTAAATAATACGTATATTTATGTTGATGATGTGTGTAATTCTTTCTGTGTGATATCGTGACCTCTTCTCATCTACCTTGATGAATACTCACGTAGGAGCGAACTGACAAAAAATGTAAGAGCTACCAAATGGTTAACTTTAGAAATCAACCTTATACGTAAATATGTGAACTAACCTAATCAGGTTCTGCGCGATATGCGTGAGGAATGATCAGTGACGTTACTTGAATTTGTGAGTGTTTTAAATCAAGAGACCTCTAAAAATGTTAGAGAATTTCAAGAAATATATATGTATTTCAATCAATCTGCAGTCGTCCAGGACGATTAAGAAATCTGTTGAACCAACCGTTTAATTTAGAGAGCACAACTCTCATAGAAGTTTCAGTTGATATATGTCAGTTATTTTAAAATAATAATCCAATCAGATCATCATGTTAAGGTAAAGGCTACAACTGGCAATAATTTTTACAGTTGAGAAGTATCATCTTAATCATGATTATAGTCTAAGTAATTTGCGACCCCCAAATGCCCTGATACGGTCGAGGGTGGAAAGGGTTAGCTCTCCCTCTCTAAATGCTCTCACATGGCCACATGCATACAACCACTGCCAGGGAAGTCCTAATAACTGCCTTCTCGCGGCATTACTATTCTTTACGAAATTGAGAGGACGAAAAGCGAATGTCCGGTGGTTTAATCTGGTTAGTAGATATGGAGGATCCATCTAGGGGAGTTGGAAAACCTTGATTCCTGACCAATGGTGTGCATGGGCTCCGGGATCCTTAGCGAATAAATGGAGTATGAACTATTTGTTGGTGACCGGCTACAACGAGACTGCATTTCCTTACGTTGCTCCACTGCCTTGTGGATCAGACCTTTAAGTCGAAAGCTCAGGTTATAGTCCTCTAATGAAAACACCTGCTTCGATTCGAGCACCTGGGCAGTATCCCAGCCCTCATATAAATCGAATGATTTATGTGATGCATATCTGTTTGATGATTCCTTGTTTATGTGTTTAAATAAACAAAGTGAATTGTGGAATTACCATTTTAGATACAACTTAATTGATGCAAAGTGAATGTGTTTTTTTCAATTTGTTTGTTTGGTTTTCTTAAAGAATATTCACCATTTGTTAGGGACGTTAGATCCCCAGAACTCACTTGGCAAAGGACCTAATTTTGTAATTTTATTTAGAAAATTGGAATTTCTTTGTTTTCGCTCCAAAGGCGCTCTTGTCACCTTCATGTCGTATTTCCCACTGGGAAATATCTTATTGGTTCGTTGCGTCTTTTAGTATGCTATTTGGTAACTCTCCCCAAGGACGGTTTTGTACTGTATATATACGTTTTGAATTGTGTTTGTTGTTATCGCTCGTTCCTGATTGTTTTGCAAAATATACTTCTCATTCCAAGCTTGTACTTCTCCCTCTAGTTAGCGGGGCTGGAACGCATCAACTAGCTAGCTTACTGGTCTTTGATCACCGAGTCTTGTTTCTCGTTCGCCGATTAAATGAACTCGTCATAGCTTCAAACCTAACACCATTGATAATGAAAATTTGTTGTGTTTTTTTTTCTTTATGTTACAGGCCAGAAAATTTAACACCACTTATGTTTATGATTATCCTGCATTATTAGCTCAAGCTTTAACTGGTGTATGGCAAAGTTATTGTCCTTATAGAAATCAAAAACATCATAATCATATTATAAATGATTCATTAGATAAACCAATATCCTACTTAACTAATAATAATAATGCTTTATCAAAATTTCATAATTTAATCCCTTTAAATATACCAGAGAATTTAATAATTACATGTACTGAATTATCATTAGATAAACATGGTAATTTACAACCAAATACAAATACTTTAGGTACAAATGAAGTAAGTGAATTCTATTTTGATATTAATCATTTTTATATTCTTTATCACTGGTTGAAATCATGAATCAATTGAAGCTAGATCACTATGGAAAACCTAGAAGCACTGGTCCTGGGTACGAATCTCGCAAGGGGCGAGGTCGTGGATGCGCACTGTCACTGAGGAGTCCCACAATAGAACGAAACGGCCGTCCAGTGCTTCCAGGTTTTCCATGGTCATCTAGCTTCAAGTGACTCATGATTTCAGCTAGTGAAATTTCTAAAAATCTCCACAAACCCCTTCTGATTATATTCTTTATTGCCTCAGTTTTTTTCTTTTTTTCATTCATATTTCTATTCTCCTGTATTAATGATTGTCAATCAATAGAAAATACTTAATTACATAATGAGTCTATCACGTATGAACAACCTTTGAATGACGCTAAACTAATCTTGAGAGATGAAGGTTATAAACGAATGTAAGGAATTACAATTACGATTTACATTTGATGATTAAGGTTAGGAATTAGATTTAAGGGTTTTCATCACGAATTGACATCAGCTACAATGCCATGAATTTATTTAGTTAAATGATTGAGTGAATTTCTCGCTAAAATCCCAAACCTGTCATTCAAACTTTATCCAAATTACTTTATTTTTGGCAGTCAAATATTAACACTTGTCCTGTAAATCGACGATTACATTAACGGATACTTCATAAATGACTGAGGTGGATCGGTTAATCATTTAAATATATTCCAAATGACCGTAGTAAGTTAACAAACTAGTTGGCCGTGTTAAAAATATCGATAATGTAAACCATGTAATAAGAAGACGAAGATTATCAGAACAATGTGATATATTAGCGCAGTACATTTCGAACAATCTGATCACACATATACTTGTTATGAACATTTATATGTTAAAAATAAAAGGTCAACTAGACTGGAAATGGGGTAAGAAGAGATAAGGATAATAATAAGAGTAATAATAATCATGTGAACACAATTTGAAACCTAATCACTCTGGATAATAAGTCAATATTACCAGGGTGGGTTTAAGGTAAGAACAAACTGTTTTTGAATACACAAAGGGGGCTTGAAATTTCGTATAGTTAAGGCTTCAATAAACCCTTAGTATACATCCTTTGACACTTGTACAACACCACAAAAGTCGAGTTAAGATCAATCTTATGACCTGTTTCAATTATGTGTTTAGCAATAGAGGATATAGTGGCACTGGACCATAACCACACAATCCTCAATGCTGAACACGAGACAACTCGGAAAATAGATATTCAATATTTAACGCGGAGAAATACCTAACACTGGAGAAGGCGGGAATAAGGAGTTGAATTAATTGGAGTTGATCGAATGGCATGGCTCGGCCATGCAGGCGTGGTCCCTGCGGAATATTACCTTATGTCTTTTATTCATATTAAATATATTATTCTTTCTCTAACCTAAGCTTGTTCTCCATCATATATTGGTAATTGTTACGATACAGTGAGTTGGTGTAGACGATGATGTGACTTCGATGTAAGATCTTATAGATTAGGCAGTTATATCATGACAAATCTACAATTTTAGGATTAGGTCTATTATTAGAGCAGTACTTATATCATAGTAGACCATAGTTCTACAAGGATGATGGATTTTTATCCTCTACTCTTATTGGATCACTTGATTTTATTTGTTTGTGCGACCACTTTGATGCATGTTCACACACCCTAATTTTGAGATCACGATGGCTCCTCCCTATGTATCTGTAACTACACACACCATTAAATTGGTAAACACACGACCTCGCCCCCTTGCGAGGTTCGAACCCAGGATCTACTGGTTTCGCGCGCGAGCACTTAACCACTAGATCACTGAGCCGGCCGGCATCCAACGGTGTTAATGTCTAACTTCAAGTAATCCACGAAATTGGGCGACACATCCACCATTGTCTTCAGTGAGTTACTATCTCACAACAGACCTGGTTGAACTCCACTGGTTACTACTTCTCACTAGAACTCCTGGATATACCTCTTGAAGCCAGTCACTAGTGAGCATATGTTGATTAATATCAGATGGGTTTTGTGGATATTATAGTAATTTCAATGGTTAAGATCATGAGTCAATTGAAGCTAAACCACCATGGAAAACGCTGGAAGCACTGGACGGCCGTTTCTTCCTATTGTGGGACTCCTCAGCAGTGCGCATCCACGACCTCGCCCTCTAGCTTCAACTGGCTCATGATCTTAACCATTGAAATTACTATTCATACTTGTTAGTTGGCATCTATTATGTAATTACTTTTGGAATGTTTCATCTTTATTGATTTTGTAGGAAGTTAAGCTATATTTACATTTGGGGATCCAGTGATATTTATTATTGTTCAGTTGTTGTTTTTTTGTGTGTTTTCTTTAAAAAGTGTGATTAATTGTTTTCATTTTATTATAGATTGGAATGGTTGTCTGGTATATGGTATTACGTACACCAGAAACTCCATCTGGTCGTCCAATTATTGTTATTGCAAATGATGCAACAGTTAAAGCTGGATCATTTGGTCCTGCAGAAGATTTAACATTTCATCGTGCTAGTCAACTAGCTCGACATTTTGGTATTCCACGTATTTACTTAGCATCGAATACTGGTGCACGAATAAAAATTGCTGAAGATATTAAAAGTGTATTCAATATTGCTTGGATTGATGCTGAACATCCTGAAAAGGTTTGTTATTACATTAAGATCTCGATCATTCAATTGATAGTTGTTCTTATGGCCTATGTAAAAGTTTTCATTACCATATTTTATTGAATGAAATGATTTTGTTCTTTTGTTTATTGTATAAAACAGCGTTTACCACAGCTTCCTGTAAAGGAATATCTTTGTGTGTGTGTGTGTGTTTGTACTCAGATCGAAGCTTTGAATAATGTATTCTTACATGATGACTATGAATACTGTTACTTCGTATTACTTAAATGGATACTGAATAACAAAAATAGTTAACTATCTGTTTTACACAAAACAACCATCTTTGGTCATACTTGAGAATTATTCCAAACAATTTCAATAATTCCCCATCTCTAAGTGTACTTTACTTGTTGTCAACCTTCTTTTCAATCTTTTGTCGAACATCATTGTATTACTACACGTGAAATCATTTTCGTTAGCATCCCAGAGATTGAAATTAGAAACAGCTTCAACGTTTCACTTGGCACTCTAATCTGAGCTTCGTCAGGAAAATAATCACATCTAGAATGTAAATAAGCTTTATAAAACAACTATATACTAAACGATTGTTCAGTCATATTAGGGTATTGAATATTAAACACGTTAATGTGAATGAATCATTCAGTGTGAGATATGCTGAATTTATATTAAACAGAAGCTATATATAAGAGTGTATTCAGATTTCATATGGAAAATGTCATTGAATAGATATATAACTGTTTGCTATGTTCAGGGATAATACTAGTTAATCTGATTGATAGAAACAAATTAACTGTATCAAATCATGCATGAAATGAGAATAGATGGATAAACACACTTTTCAATAGTTGAATTCATCAGTCAATTGAAACTAGACCACCATGGAAAACCTAAAAGCACTGGATGACCGTTTCATCCTATTGTCGGACTACTCAGGAGCTTCGCAAGATTCGAACTCAGTACCTATTAGTCTCGTGAGTGAACGCCTAACCTCTAGACTACTGAGTCGGCCGGTATCCAACGATGTTAATGTCTCTAACTTCAACTAATCCACGAAATCAAACGACACATCCACCACTGCCTTCATGATCTCAAATATTGAAATTACTATAATATCCACAAAAACCTCTTTCTGATATACATTATTGTTGTTCTATTCAACAAACTATTTGTTGAAGGCATATTCAAACTTATTAGTTGATTAAAACATATTTAGACTAACAGTTCATATTCAATTATTTTATTATGTATTAAAACTATTGCCATCTTGATAACGTTTTCCAATTGATTAACTGTGAATATCATCTCTGTGATGCAGGGACATTCAGCTGAAGAGTCCTAAATAGGACGAAACATGCGTCTTGGATTCCACCATTGCTTAAAATGTTTATTATTATTATTTATAATAAATATATACTTATAACCCATTGTTTAATCTCATTTCTTGTTATCAACCTTTTCTACTTAAAACAAAAAAAAAAGGGTTACAAATATTTATATTTAACACCCGATGATTATTATCGTTTTAAATATGATGAATCTGTGAATTGTGAAAAAATTGAAGAAAATGGAGAGATACGTTTTAAAATTATCGATATAATTGGTAAGTTATATAGAATGGATGTTTGTTTGTTTTTATTTCTTCATTTAGCTGTATCCCTTAAAAATTCTTGACCTTGTTTACTAGTGATTACTTCATTTATTTACTTACTTACTTCCGCTTGTGATTCCTAATGGAGCATAGGCCGCCGACCAGCATTCTCCAACCCATTTTGTCCTTCGCCTTCCTCTACAGTTCTGTCCAATTTTTGTTCATTCTTCTCATATCTGTCTCCATTTCTTGGCGTAATGTGTTCTCTGGTCTTCCTCTTTTCCTTTAGCCCTCAGGATTCCTTGTGAGGGCTTGCCTTGTGACGCAGTTGGTTACTTTCCTCAATATGTGTCCTATTTACTTCCAGTGCTTCTTCCTGATTTCTTCCTTCATTGGGATCTGGTTTGTTCTCTCCTACAGTAGGTTGTTGCTAATAATGTCCGGTGAACGGATCCGACGTACTTTACGTAGACAACTGTTAATAAACACCTGTATTTTCTGGATGATGGCTTTCGTAGCTCTTCAAGTTCCCGCCCCATACAGTAGAGCAGTTTCGACATTTGTATTGAAAATCCAGACCTTGGTGTTGGTTGACAGTTGTTTTGAGTTTCAGATGTTCATCAGTTGTAGATGTGTTGCTCTTGCTTTTCCGATCAACGCCTTCACACCTGCATCAGATCCACCATGTTCATCAATGATGCTGCCCAGATATGTAAAGGTTTTTACATCTTCCAAATCTTCTTTGTCAAGTGTATTCGACTGTTGTATGGTGTGTTGTATCGGAGAATCTTGCTTTTCCCCTTGTCTATGTTGAGAGCTACTGTTGATAAGGTTACTGCTTCACTGATGGTCTTCTGCATTTGCTTTTGCGTGTGCGTTAGAATAACCAGATCATCTGCGAAATCTAGGTCGTGTAGCTGCATCCTATCTGTCCACTGTATCCCATGCTTCCCCTCAGATGTTGACGTCTTCATGATCCATTAGATCACCAGGAAAAAGTTAGTAGTGATTAAGAAAACCATAATTATACATGTATGATTTGTGGTAGAAAATGAAAGAATTTCCAATCAACATGTATTTATTGTTTTTATGTTACTAGTAAAAACTTTTCGAAACTGATTATAAGTTCTATCTTGAATTTTCTAAAAAAAACTCATTAAAGATGCTCGTCCATACAGCACCGTATCATCTTTCTTTGAGAACTTTTATGTGATCATAAATAACTTTATCAATATTTTAGAGTAAATCGCTTTACAGAGTTGTTGCTTTGCTTTATTATTCAGTCACCCTTGTAACCGTTATTATCTAAATTTCAAAGGCGGTGTTTGAAATCAATGAAAGCAATGAAAAGCCGCGACTACAGTTTATCAGCAGATAGGACAGATTACAAAGCTGTAAGACGCACCAAATGAACTTGAAGCAGAGATGCGAATATGTATATACGAACTAATACATAGGCAAATTTATAGTCAGATCACATAAGGGCTCAGAAAGGCAAAGCAAACGCTAAAACTAGAATTTGAGTACATATATACATGGGGAGGAGAATGAATGATTTTGCAACAACTAAGATAATGAACATTTTAGTTAGAGTGTGTTATGTGATCTAGCGGTCGTAACGGTACAGTGAAATACACGAATTGTTACTGTTCTAATAACACTGTCTGTTAAGTAAGTTAATAAAAGGGGCTTAACCAGAATTAACCATAATCGAAATCGGTTGTAGAATAGTTGTTATATTAGTATTGTGACATACTTTTCAAAGCTTCCGAAATTTTCAATTGGGATCTTATCATCCAATGGCATTATTCAATAACACTATTCGCCACATTGACACTTTGGGAAATAAAACATTTTTAATAGATTTGATACACAACAACATAAATTACAACGAAATATTAACTCGTCTCGTAATTCCTCCGAGTTATTCATCGGCATTTCTCCACAGTAGTCCATATACGGGCGAGACTATAATTTATGGACGAACCAATCAGATTTACAATAACAGGTTTGAGATTTTGGCTCAAAATTCATTCATCCATCTGGATAAATAGAATCCTGGTATTATAGCTGATGTCAGTTTGAGATGATAACCCTAAATCTAATTCCTAACCAAAACCATCAACTATTAATCATAATCCTTATGATTCAAACTGCTTTATAACCCTCACTTAGCCCTAGTAAGTAGGTAGACACTCTCAAAGTCACTTAACATCTCTCGAAAATCGTCCATAAATTACAGTCTCACCAACATACGGTTGTTTCATCTTAACAATTAAATGTTTTATAAATAGTTTATGATGCCTTTCAATGTTGAATTATTTTTAATATAGTCGATCTATAATCAGTTGTTTTTACATATGTGCTATGATTTTCAATTCGTTTTCTCATTCTCGATTGCCTCATCTTTGTTATGAAACTTCATTTCAAAGAGTCATCATACTTTTCCTGTATTTATAAGCCTTCGCATCCTCATGAATTGTTTTATCCACTTAGTTTCTACTATATGTTATTGATTAAAGCTATATCGATCTTCATCTTAAGTGCACTATTGACCTGAAATTCCTTACTGTTCTTAGAAGTCATCTAGAATTTCCGATATTTTCCCTAATAAATTTGTATCCGTAATTTTATCTACTAGAAGTCGACATCAGTGTTATCCAGAAAAACACTGAAAGTCTCTTAGTTATACCATGAACCTTAGTGAATGAAAAATCATGTAAATTATTCACTCAAACTATAACTATTCTCCATCATCCAGTCGATCCCAGATTCGCTAAATGATTTCTCGTAGTTTAAATACCATTTCATAAAATTTCACTTCAACTGTAGTCATTATAATGAAGATTTCAAGGAAAACCATAATTTCATCATTGTTTACCTCGTAACCTTATGATCTTTTCATAGAATCGTGTTAGAAAATCAAGATAGTGATTACATAGGTCGTTCAGATTACTTGATATTTCATAAGTTATCGAATCAAATCTTGCCCAGTAGTGATTCGTTCGAATTTCTTTTTAATAAATTAATTTTCTCTTCATTTGAATTTTGAGTACTTTGATGATGTAATTTTTCGTTAGGGTTAGGGTTGGGATTGTAGCCTCTCAATAAACACCTCTTCTCTAAAATCCGTTGTAAACTGTTCGCATGTTAACACCCTAACCCTAGGCTACAACCCTAACCACTAACCCTATGGACGAGTTTCTATACCGTATGGATTCTGAATTCAGAGCCTCTAAACATTTATCAAACCTTACCAAGTTTTTAAATCATGTAAAAGAAGAATATCCACTGTAATTCATTACTTTCTTATAATATGTTTTCACTTTATACTAATTGTCTTCTGATTGGCTAATAGTTGTCAAGGTCATTTAAGATTCGTTCAAAGGTCGTCCCTAAATTAGAGTCTAGCCAGATTTGTATCCGTAATTTTATCTACTAGAAGTCGACATCAGTGTTATCCAGAAAAACACTGAAAGTCTCTTAGTTATACCATGAACCTTAGTGAATGAAAAATCATGTAAATTATTCACTCAAACTATAACTATTCTCCATCATCCAGTCGATCCCAGATTCGCTAAATGATTTCTCGTAGTTTAAATACCATTTCATAAAATTTCACTTCAACTGTAGTCATTATAATGAAGATTTCAAGGAAAACCATAATTTCATCATTGTTTACCTCGTAACCTTATGATCTTTTCATAGAATCGTGTTAGAAAATCAAGATAGTGATTACATAGGTCGTTCAGATTACTTGATATTTCATAAGTTATCGAATCAAATCTTGCCCAGTAGTGATTCGTTCGAATTTTGAGTATTTTGATGATGTAATTTTTCCTATAAGATACATCCTTTATAGTTGGTACTCTTAACTGTTTTGAATAGAACCTTGATTTTATTGATATGTGCATATCATCATGTGTAATCTAGTGAATACGATAGCTCATTGTTTTGAGTATCCTAAATTCCAACCATCAAATCTCAATATAAACTCCCCCCCCTGTGAGTTATTTCACTTTCAGTCATCAATTATCAATAGAAATCATACACATTATTTGTATTAGCATCAGTTCTACAAAATTATGTGAGTTATATTGTATAATTTAATACTACACATAAGTGTTTGGTAATTTGATTGATTGATTTCATTTTATTACATTGTAGGCAAAGAATATGATATGTCTGCGGAAAATCTTCGTGGTTCAGCAATGATTGCTGGTGAAACATCTGCAGCGTATGATGATATATTTACTATTACAATTGTTACAAATCGTGCTATCGGTATTGGAGCTTATTTAACACGTCTTGGTCAACGAGTTATTCAAGTAAGTAGTTCTATTTACAGATTTTGAGAATTGGTTTTTCAGTTGTGTGTGTGTGTGTTTTAATATTCCTCAATTCTGATTTTATTGTTTCTTCTAAATTACAGGTGAATAATTCACATATTATATTAACTGGTGCAATGGCTCTTAATAAACTTCTTGGCCGTGAAGTATATTCTAGCAATAGTCAATTGGGTGGTGTACAAGTTAGTGATTAAATATATCATGTTACAAATTGGTTCTATTCAGTCCTTAACTGTACTTTCAGTTTCTAGTCAATAGTTAGTCAGTTTAAAGGAAGATAGAGAGTGTATACACCAACATCATCATGATCGATTCTGAGCCATGTCACCCACAGTCTCCAACCATTGGTTACGATAGTCACGCGGATCCCAAACAAGTAGTCTGTATCAATCAACATGGCTTAGACTAGAAGTTAGTGACTTTAATGACTGATGTCACGTTTTTGTTTGACCACCCTTAACTTTCTTCCAACTATCCCCAATGGTTAGTAGATTCATTCATAAAAGTAGTCTACAATTTCTAACAAAACTTATAACAAACAACCATAAAATTCAAGTGTTGTCTTTACGTTTTTAAAAAATGAACATTCTTATTTCATTGTATCAAATCATTTGTATTATGGACTACATGATGGAGGTATATGTGAATTGTATACGTTATCTCATTAGAGATAGATTTATGAATGTAACATGTTGTACTCTAAGATGTAACTGGAAGATGACAGTTAAGGTTCTTGATAAAGAGAAGCATAAAAGTATCTCTGCTTGTTAGTAGGTTCTTATTAATCCAGTTTATTACATAGTTTATATGTTGAAATTATATTACTCCATATTATAAAGTTAGAAAACGTGAATTGTTTCTTTGAAGCACATATTTACACAGTGAATGCGTATTACATCGTATGTAACAACTTATGAATTACAGTTATGACATTCAGGAATAAGTTTGCATATTACGGAAAAATTAGGTTTGGTTTAAGACCATTAACTATTTCGCTTTATTAGTCCTACCTGATTGGTTTTTTAAGTTTTTGACTTCATGTTTGAAGAGGTACCTGAAAAGGAAATTGGATTAGAGGTGGTCTTAATGACCTGAAAGCGTGACCGCAGTGACCAACGGACAACTGTTTGAGATCGGTCACACACAACCTTTTTATGAGTAATTTTTGTGTTAGCTCCGTAATTGTTGAGACCTTACCGCCGGAGACGGATATCCGTGGGATAAGGCGAGGTGTGCATTTTTAGGGTCGACCTTTTCTACCCCCCCCCACCCCTCCTTGTGGGAAGGCAGAATCGCTGTCATTTTGATTATCTGAAGGAAACACCTTACTACTGTCACACCTTTGTTGTACAGTCAGAAGTACGACTTGGCCTTCTGACCTTGAATTTGTTGCTTTTAGTGTTACCATTCTTTAACTGACCTGTCTGACATGGTAGGACGTTGAGGAACGGTTGTTCCAGCCAGTATAGCTCGATTGGCTCATAACGATAGGCAAGCTCGACGACCACGTCACGGTAGCAACAACGAACTGGCATGTTTGAAGATATAAAGTTATGTTAAGAATGTTTACGTCATACACTTTAATCAATGATTAAACATCCTTTTGATCAACTAAGATCACTTTGTATGATGACTATACTTTCATCTTTTTGAACAGTTGTCTTCTGAAAATTAACTGACCGTAAAATAATTCACGTACTGAACATTCATAATTTGAATCTTTTAAGCGTTATTTAATTCATTTATTAGATAGTTGGACATAACTAGTAGTAGGATGCCTTGTTCAATCTTGATTTCTTGCTAGTTGGTACTTATCAACGTCCAGGGTGAGTTCTTAATGTCATGGATAAGATGAGAATTTGTATGACTCAGTTCCACACACACAGAAACTTGACCAAATGAGTTTTTCATACTGTCACCTTGATCAATGCCATTTTTTGTCTGGTATGTAGTGCTTTACAATATTTTTTTTTAGCAAATTACATTATGAAGTTGTTTATTTTTCATAAACAATGAAATATGTTTCGACAACTGTTAGTTAAGTGCCTGGTAACCATTTTTGTTCCAAACAGATATCAACATAACTACTATTCAAAACAAAGGATCAAATTAACGTAGCATATGGTACAATGACTTCACTATGTGTGTTTTTCTGTAGTAAATTTCAATAATTGGTAGCAAATAGGTATCACAATGTATGATCTGTTTTCCTATGTCTCTTGCTTTGAAGTAATGTCATGTTGATACTTACTTTACCTTAACGTTTTTCTTGCGAGTTAGTTTTCTACGAAATGGGATCGCTAATCTCATGTCCAACCCTTCTCCTTTATCCGGGCTTGGGACTGGCAGTATTCCCAGAGAGGCTCCAGGCGGAGTTAATGTTATGTAGATACTATACTTAAATTTGATTAAAAACTATGTGAAAAATATCGATTTACTTGGTATAGTTTATGAATGTATCATAAATTATTTTGTTTTCATTCCAATTCTTCATTTATATTTATATATTTAGGTGATGGCAACTAATGGTGTCTCTCATTTGGTTGCATCAGATGAACTCTCTGCTTTACAATTAGCTATTGAATGGCTTAGTTATATACCTCAACGTCCAAATGAAACATTTTCTGTTTTATATAAACCAGTACAAATTGAACCAGGACATAATTTCAATAGAAATAATTTAGCTAAAATTGAAATCTCATCACAATTAAAAGTTCATCAACCGAAAGTGAATAAACGAACTGATTTTTATTTACCATTTGATCCTATTGATAGAATTGTTGAATATATACCTAGTCGTGATCGACCAAATGATGATCCTCGATGGATGTTCACTGGTATTATGAGTAAGTAAGCATAGAATTACATCTGTTGTTATTTCTTAACGAAGTTGATGGCTTTTCTAATTCTATTCTAAGACCTGTTACTCCTTATGGAAGAGCATAGGCCGTCCACCAGCACTCTCTATCCAATTCTGTTCCAAGAAATCCTTTCCAGCTCTTTCCAGTTGTTACTCATCCTTTTCATATTTGAACCAAGCTTCACATATTCCAATTAAGGGGTTTTCGGGTTATTATACTAACTTTCTGTTGTAACGTGTGGACTGCAGGTTAGATGCGCAGCGTACTTATCGATCGATCCAGTGACACGTAAGGACGACCTAGATTCCCGACTGGTCCCGCTCCCCTGTCTAGCCCAGCTAGTTGAGTCCAGAACGCAAGTCGCAACCTCTGAGATATGAATCATTATATTTCAGACATACTCTGTTTACATACCAACCAAACAAACCACATCGTACCATAAAATAGAAAACAACATTTACACAATATTTAACAAGTGAAATAAATATCGACCAATAGGGAGTGTACATTTAACGTCCAAGGACACCATTCGACTTAACACGATAATTATTGGTATATTCCTCTGCATACCTAACATTTACTCGACGAGTTCTAGTACTTTTATTCACTTTTTCCGTTCATTTAGATGATAAATTCTATATATTAAAATGTAATGGTTACCATAGATTTTATTTCACTCCCTAAATTTTTACCATCATTATGGTTTTCATTTGAAATATGTCGGGCTACATTGCACTAACATAATGATGATAGCAGAAAGTTGTGGATACCTTGAAACGCTTATAATGAAGTCCTTTTAATGATACTTACGCTCTGACATGTTGCAGTCGCGCACAAGTAAAACGTGAATGT